TGTAATTTTTACTTGCAGCATAGACTGTTATCTAGCCATGAAGGCTTCAGCATCTAAATACATAAATTAAAATAAGTATTAGGTGGTAATTAACTAGCTGACACGTGGAACTGGTGTCCCTACACCAACTAAACTCCTTTACTATTTTGCAGTGGCTGGAGGTACAGCAGCCGTCGTTCGTTGAAGCCCCTTTTTTTGCGTTAGGGTTAGGGTTAAGGTTAGAGTTCTAGCTCATCTAAACTCTCAAATCGTGAATTTATTTCCCAAGGCGTTATTTCGAAATCTGGTGCCACCCGCCGCCATCTTTGTCTCATTAAGTATGAAAGCGAATGTACTGCCGTACCTCCAGCCTCGAGACGTTAAGATACGGCTGCCGTACTCGTAGCCACAGCGTTACTATTTAGCTTTACCCATCCACAGTACTGTCCTGTCTCACTTAAACTTAAAGCCACAATATGCGCATCTACATGCTAATTTCTCCAGTACTAGACTTAGCAAATACTTGGTGACATTCATAATCACATTACCTTATGACAAAATAAACTCTAGTTCCTCCCATTTCACTGCGCGTTTGCTTAAAACCCACAAGAAAGAGGTGCGAAATCTGGTAATCTGGCGCCAACGCCGAATTGTTTGCCAAGCAATTTCACCCCGAATCGGTTAGGTGACGTCACATGTTGCTACGGGTGTTGAGCAGAGAATATAGTCGCTTACATTTAAAGATATAGTTGTAGTATTGTGAACTGCAGTTTATGTAACATCAATGGCTATTGGGAAAGTAATATTATAGGCAGCGTAATAAACTCTGAGAATAACGTATTGATTTTAGGCTTGATATCGCGAACGATAACATGTCATTGCGCTAGCAGCGTGCGAGAGAAAAACCCACACGGGCCGTAGAAATCTTTGCTACACCCGCTGTACGGTTGCTTGGCAGAGCAACGCGAAAGTGTCAACAACATCGGAGAATTTAAAGATCGAACGTTGGAGGTATTTTCAAATACCTTTTTTAAGACAACGCGCAGTGAAATGGGCGGAACTAGAGTTTATTTTGTCATAAGGTAGTATGATTATGCATGACACGAAGTATTTGCTAGTCTAATACTGGAGAAATTAGCGTGTAGATGCGCATATTGTGGCTTTAATCTAATCTGAGATCTAAGCACCTACACTAAATGAATAATATCTCAGAATTATATTTCATATGGATACACCACTTCTTGCTAGTTCTTTAACCAAGTTGTTTTCTACACTTTCTCCTATTCCACTATTCCGTTCAAAACAGTTCAGGACTGCACTGGTTAATTTTTAGCTCATCTGACATAGTCAGATGCAGCTTGTAGAATCGCATGAGCGTGCATCTGTGCGTGCGTCCGTGCGTGCGTGCGTCCGTCAACAGTTGGGCACAAATCTAAACGGCTCGACGTACAGATTTGAAAGTTGGGACGTGGGGGGTAATCCGAAAACGAGTTGG